GAAGTAATTATTCAGTTGTTCAACCCGATGTAATAAACGTGATTGTTCGTCGAGTAAGCATTCTGCAGCACATTCCGAGCTGACAAAGAATATCCTAGTGTACCATTTCCAGAACACGGTGCTTTGTTTTTGTCAATGACCCTGGGCCTCACTCAATGAGTCGTGCCATGCCAGCTTTCCAGCCACTTTGTTGGCTGAAGTGAGAGACGAGACTTCGAGATTTCTTGATCAAAGTCGTTCTACATTCCACTGCATAGTGCTATACAATCATAATGAAGTGCTGATTTAAAAGGTGCATTCCATCAAGCAAGGGTCGCATGTACATGTATGCTAAATTCAATACTCGTAGTCGTATAGATTTGGATCAAGTCACGGAGAAGCAATTAATCGCTGCATGACTCAATGCTTTGGTTTCAACTACTAACATACATGACATGTAGTTGTGTCACTGTATGTCGGTCAAGGAATGTACAATGTCAGAGTTGTTGTATAACAGGTGGGCATATCAGCACCTCATGATCATTATGGGTAGGCAGTACTAGGCACATGTACATGTACATGGAAATGTAGCTTGCCCGGAAACCTCCCCGTATTTGCAATGTACATGTATAAGCTATTTTTAGACGCGATCATGCATTCTCAGATCATCTTGACTTGGGAATGCAGCTAGACTAGACCACGATGGGCGTGCGACCTGGCACATGCATGTAGGTAACATAAAACAAACAAGGATGAAACAGCGAAAGAGAAAGGAGAAGAGAGAGAGAGAGAGAGAGAGAGAGAGAGAGAGAGAGAGAAGAGAGAGAGAGAGAGAGAGAGAGAGAGAGGGAGAGAGAGAAGAGAGAGAGAGAGAGAGAGAGAGAGAGAGAGAGAGAGAGAGAGAGAGAGAGAGAGAGAGAGAGAGAGAGGAGAGAGAGAGAGAGAGAGAGAGAGAGAGAAGAGGGGGATTCCTTCTCCAAATATGGTGCACATACAGTACGTGCAGGAGGATAAGCGTAGCAATGTCCTGACTCGATATCACAACAAGGCTTCAGCAACTGTTGTTGGTCCCGACGTTTATACAGGAGCTTCAACGATTCTCTCTAGATTTCTGTCTTTCGCAAGACAATGCATTCCAAGTTTGGGCCATAACTCTTATTGAACACATCCGTCTCTTAATTAAAACGCCCCAGATTCGAGGTCTAATGCAGGGAATGACACCCAAGTGTGCGCACAATCAATGCCGAGTTTGCAAATTGCAAATTTGCAAATCAATCCACGTCGTCTGGTGTATGATGTTTTAAATGAAAGTGCACCTGCCTACGTAGAATATAGGAGAACAACAACATCATCATCATCATCATCAGTTCATCAAAGAACATACTAGCAATGGACTACAGAGGGCTGTAGGTACTTGTACTAATTTTTTGTAGATTACGAGTACATTGATTCACACGTCCATCCTTACTCTCACTTGGCGCTTGTTCCCTCACACCGCGTAGCATACGGGCTTTGCCACATAATCAGCAACTGTTCACATGAATGTGTTGTCGATTGTCTCCACATGATCCGGTACTGTACTCACTGTTCCTGGTCAGTATTGTTCACTGTGATCCTGCTCACGGCGGTGGTAGACGCAGACTAGACTATCCTGTTGACGGTGGTAGACGCAGACATCTCCTGTGGACTGGCGGTGGGTAGACGCAGACTCTCCTGTGGACGGCGGTGGTAGACGCAGACCCCTGGGATATTTTAAACGTCTAGCCAACGGCCAGACTTCCAATCGTCGGCCAGAGGAAATTGTTTACCCTCTGGCTGTTAGTGATCTGACTATGACAGATCAGACTTGGAACCACTGCTGGTCTACAGTCTCGTAGAGAGCTGCAGACTTGCAGCAACTCGACACCGAACAATTTTAGGACCCCTGGAGGTATGCAAGTACATTATTTATTTATTTCTGCACCTCGTGGCATGTCAAGACAGCCAATTCAATTGAGGAGAGGGTGAGACCAACCACGGAAGAAGAGAAAAAAGAAAATGAAGAGCACGTACACAAAGTGGAAGGGATTATGTACTTGTCAATATCAACTCTCCCTCTCTCTCTCTCTCTCTTCTCTCTCTCTCTCTCTCTCTCTCTCTCTCTCTCTCTCTCTCTCTCTCTCTCTCTCTCTCTCTTCTTCTTCTTCTTCTGCCCTCTCTCCCTTTCTCTCTCTATCTGTCTACATGAATCTGTGTATCTCTCTAGCTTTCATCCCCTCTTCCTTTCTCATTCTACCCAACATAGGTGCCGATCCAAGAACGCCAGTGTTTGCCTGTGACAATTGGAACATGACTGCTGACACATCCCCTCGGATTGGTTCTATAGTCGTACATGTATAAGCCATTGATCAAGTGCATGCCACCTGTTCATCTTAGCTGAGGAGCGTACAAATACGTGTACGTGTTCGTCATTGTGATCCCGAACTTTTTATTCGAGACCATGTGTAATTCTGGCGCGTTGCGTTCACGTAACCTGAAGCCCACATGCAATACGGTGTGAGCATGTGTGTGCAGGGATACAACGCCGTGCATGATAAAGAGGTCATACGAAGACTTTTAAATCACCCTCGACATGGGCTCTTGGTTATGTGTTAACAGTTCAGTTCACACAACTAACGTGTTACTTCCGCTTGTGAAACTCTTACGCAGGCTGTGTCTTTTGAACACAACCAGAACTGATAGTCAATGGTAACGCGAGCGTGCGAACCCTACTTTACCTATTTTTTCAGAAAAATAATAATTAGTAACAACTTTGAACTCGGATGGCGAGGCAATATAGTTATGAGGAAGAAAGGGAAAAGGACAAATGTAACGAGTTATCACAAACTGTGCTGCACT